CACCCGGAAAGAGAGCAATGATGGTGCCAACTTGGGCCAGTGAAGCAACATCCTCCACAACTAGACTGAAGAACAAAACGACAGCAACTAGTCTGTTCCCCTTCCCCCAATTCCCCCAGCAATGTTCCCATCCCCCCAATTCCCCAATTAAAAAAAAAAATTTAAGAGCTCAGCCTCTCTAATAATCAGATATCCAAAAAAGTTTAATAATATTCCATTAAAGTGCAGGTATAATTAAAATACTCATATTGTTTTTGATGAAGGTACAAAATGGTACTTTTTGGGGAGGACAATTTGGATCTTCTCTCAAAACTTTAAATGCATGTAGTCTCTGACCCAGTAATTCTGCTTTCTAGGAATTAAACCTACAGAAAGGTCACATACACACACAGAACAATTTGGTTAAGGATGTTTATTACAGCATTATTAGTAAGTCATAGTTGGACTATACTACTTAAAAATAATGAGGCAGATTTGCATTAACAAGGAAAGAGGTCCATAATATATTGTTAAAGGGGAGAAAACTAATGATGTTACCTGAGGAAAGTCATGAGCTTCTTAATACTTCCAGATAAGTATTTACTATTATGTTTTACTTTATTAATTGAATAAAAAAGAAAGCATGCCCAGAAGGAAACATGAAATGTTATCAGTGGTCATCTCTACATAGTGAAATTACAGGTGCTATTTTTCCTTTAAGCTTTTTTTTTTTATGATGAGGTGTATTATTTTTATAATTGCTACTACACACTGATTTCTTCCTACACTCCATTTAGTGTCTAGGTGAATTAGTACGCCAACAGTCACAACTGTAAACGGTAGCTATCATTATCAGCTCCATTTTACAGATATGAAAGAAGCTAAGAAAGTGACTCTAAAGCCTATTGTGTATTACGTTGCTAATCTCCACATGGAAAAATACTAAAAATGTAAGAAAACCAACCCCAAATCATTGTAAAATCATGAGCAAAAAGCATAATGCAAGAAGAGTATGCTTTGCCATTTCGGAGATATGAGGTGTTCCAAAATAACAGAGTATAAATTTGGGTTGTATATATTCTTGGAAAAAAACAAAACAAAACAAAAAAACCCCAAAAAACTTCCTACATATATTCACGTACCTAGGAACTTAAATTTTTACATTTGAAGCTATATGCTTTTTATAGTATTGAGAACTAAGATCTGAAGACAACCATTCTGAATGGTTTCCTTCATAAAATAACAATACATTTTATATTTGAGAAGGCAAAAACCAGTTACCTTAAATTTCAAATTATGTCAATTTTCAAATATGTCAGTTTCAAAATGCACAAAGGAATCATGTCACATTTGATAAATGGAAGGCATTACCTTACTTTTGAAAGCCAACCAGGAAAAAGGAAAACCACCTTTGCAAATATTTATGTTCTTGAAACAAAAAAAAATAGATATCATCTAATAATATCACATCTTTTGAAAAGGTGCAAGGTTTATTAGAATAATGGTAATTCTGATGGTTCTGTCTTTTTAATTTGTGGAGTAGTAAAACTGGAAGGGAACCTCAGAGTTCCCTAGTACAACCCCCACATCATACAAACGAGGCCCAGAGAAAGGAAGTGATTTTCATAAGGTCTCACACATACTAAGAGATTACAGAGGCGGGAACTCACTCAGATTATGTCAATCTAAATCCAGAATTTTGACTTTTGAAAGGTATTATCCAATAATTTAATGGGCTGCTTACAGTACTTTGGAATCCTATTCTCCTCTGTACTAATGGGGCCTTTTTGACTCAGCACTTTCAGAAAGCAGCAAACTAATCTCTATTGCATTATCTACTAATCTCTATGGTATCTACAGATTCACTACAGAGTAAAAGTTTCCTAAATCTCATTATTCCCCATCACTTTCACATGTAATCTTATTTGGAACCCCAAATTAGAAAGGATTATAAAAAGCAGAGTCACTCCAGTGAAAACTGTGCAGGGGTCTTGCTTTGACTCATCACTTTGTCCCTGAAGCCTCTGAAATACTCCCATGGTATCTTTCGTCTCAGAGACAGACAGACAGACAGATGCGCACACACACTGCAAGCCCAAATTTTTATTAGAATCACATGACATAAAATTAGCTTACTGACATAAAATTAGCTTAAGTTTCTAAAAGCTCACTTTCAATTTGTGTAGTGACCTTGTCGTGGACCAATAACAAACAGCTCACAGACCACACTTTGGGAAGCAATGCTCTACAGCAAACCAAACCTTAAAAGATGTTGCTGATCAAATCAGAACACCTGATTGATATACCAAGGAAAAGTTAGAAAAACTTACTTCTTATCGAAATATGTTGAATTTTCTTTCCTCTTGGAGAATCCATTGGGTAGAAGATTTAAGTTAATACCTTGCTTTCGGGCACGATTTTTCATAAAGTACATCTAACAACCAAAAAATAGACAAATTAATTTTAAAATGCCTTAAATTTCAAAAGTGAGTAAAATAAGGTTCAAAATATAATATTTATCTAGTACTTACTCGTATGTTTTAAAAACTGTGCTAAACAGCTATGTCATTTAATCCTCACAACAGTATGAGACAGGTACTATTATTACTCCATTTTAGCAATGAGAATTAGTGAGAAGCTAACATTATACTATTTCTGAGAGGTAGAGTTTGTATTCAAACTCAGATCTGTGCAATTCCAGAGCCTATGCTTTTAACCATATACTCTACAAGCCCAAAGAAGAATTTCAAGGGGATTTTAAAAAATGCAGGTCATTTGACAATCACAGGGATTACCTATACAGTTCTCTTTTACTGATGGTTTTATACCATAGTTACACTTACACACACACACGTTTTTATTACTAGACAGTAGCTCACTCAGGAGGAATCATGGCATTGTCTAGCACAAGGCCTAACTTAAAGTAGCCACTGCTGTAGACTGTACAAAATGGGATATGAGAACATCTGGCTCTGACATGTGTTACTCCACTGACCACCTGGGTTGGTTAAGCTGAACTAGTCAACTTCAGGGAGTAGTGAAGCAAGTAGTATCATCAAAGAAGAAAGATGACTCAAAGAAATGGCAGTATAAATGCAAGCTTTTTTGTTAAATGAATGGGAATCTAGAATTTGCAATGCAAAGAGTTAAGACAATCAAGTCATAAACCAAGAGAAAGGAAGGGCCAACTATCACTGGCTAAGTATAAAAATGATTTAAGAAACTACATGCAATTTTATAACTTAAGGGGCTTTAGTTTCAGTAATGACAGTGATTATAAAGCCCAACCTTCCCAATGAAAACATCTAAGAATGCCACATGATGGGGTAAATACATACATGTAATAAAATGTATTTTAAAATCACCTTAAAAGCATTGGATAACTGACAGACAGGAAAATACAGGTCAATATTTAATGAAAAGTGAAACACTCAGAGAAAGGTAAGCAAAATAATGAAGCCACTTTTGCTCATTCTAGCAAATATAGTCTTCCCCTTTCAATAGCCTTATCTGCAAGAAGGTCAGAGTCAAGACCCAGTAATCTTCTAGGAACCCCTCCTCAAATGAAGCTGAGGCACAGAATAATACACCCTCAGGATAAGGGTAAACCAGAAATAAACTCTACCACCCAAAAAGCATGCTAGGAAATTTTTATTGGTCTAATGGGAACAGGAACTAAAAAAAAAGAAAAAAATCCATTAGAAGTTGTGGTCACAGGCCATCACTTGCTCAGATTTGAAATAATTTGCCTTGCTTGTGTGGAAAAGGGAATCTTAAACTTTCAACTTGGTTTCAGATAGGTCCAGATTTGCAATGTTCCCAGGTTCCTGGTAGAATAAAAGGCCTGTTTATCCTATCTTCAAAAAATTCTCACACATACGTAATATTTTAAGAAAAAGAAAGCAGTACTCAGTAAAAAATAAACAAGAAAACAAGGCTCAGTGAGCAGGAACCAAGAGACAAAAAGTAGCTCAGAGAGGTCCCCATTATTCAAAAACTTAAACGAATCATACACAGATTACAGAACAGCTCTGCAAAATTTAAAGGAATAAAAGAAAGTCTGAAAATCTCTGCTGTGGAAAAAACTATAAAAACTGCATATTTAAAAAAAAAAACTAGAAAATTTCTAGAATGCAATACAGAGATAAAAAAAAGATGAAAAAAAAATCAGAAGACAGGTTAAAGGACAGATAAGATTCAGGGAGAAGACCTAAGCTACATTTAATGGTAGTTTCTGAACAGAGAAAGATTAAGGCAGAGGTAACATTTTAATAGAAAAGGGCTGATAATTTCCCAGAACTGATGAAAATTACTCTATAGTTTCAAGAAACCTAACAATTCTCAAGTAAAATAACTAAAATAAATTTGCATATTCACATTATAGTAAAAATGCAGACCACCAAAGATAAAGGAATGCAGCCAGAGAAAAAAGATTTTAAAGGCAATTGAAAATGACAGATGACTTTACAACAATAACAATGGAAGCTATAGACAATGGAAAAATAATTTTGAACTCAGAATTCTGCAAAAAAAATATCATTTAAGAGTGAAGATGCAATAAATAAAAATTCAAACAAAAACCAATATAGTAATCTAAGAGCTGGCAACCAGCAAACCCTCACTAACGGATATTCAAATGGATGTACTTGAGGCAGAAACTGATCTCTCAGATGGAGGGTCTAAGATGACAACTGAAGGAATAGAGCAGTGAAAGTGGAAAATAAGAAGATAAACCAAAATAAAGACTGATTGAATAAGACAGTAAGTACTGTGTGAAGATTTAAAAAAAGATAATTTAAATACCTGAAAACAAAAGAAAAGTTAATATAGGGTTAAATGGAATTTAAGTATTCTAAAGTAACTGCTGGCAAATAGGGCAAAATCCTGCCTGTTGCCTATTTTTATAAATAATTTTCTTTGGAGTACAGGCCCACCATTTGTTTATGAATTGTTTATAGCTGCTTTCCTGTTACAATGGCAGAGTTGAGTAGTTGTGACAGAGAATATATGGCTTGGAAAAAATATTTACTATCTGATCCTTTACAGAAAATATTTGCCAACTCCTGTTCTAAAGTCCTGGCATTGTCTAGGCACAGGGTTAAGGTACTGATTAACTTTAGGTACTGGTAAATTAAGTATGCATGCTGCAATGTCTTACCTAAGGACAGAAAAAGGGTGTACAACTTTGAAACCGATAAAGAGAAAAATTCAAATAATTAAAAAAAACAAGATGAGTCCAAAAGACAAAAAGAAAAAAAACCAAAATAAATGGGACAAATAGCACAAATAAACTGACACAATTAAAATAAAATATATAGGTAATTTTATCAAAAAATAAATGAACTTAATGATTCAGTTAAACGTTATAGTTGGCAGACTCGAGAAAAACTGGAACCCAATTATATGGTACTTAGAAAAGACATAACCAGAACATAAGGATATAGAAAGTCCTAGAGTAAAAATAAGGAGAAAGAAATACACTATACAATACCAAGTAAAGAACTGATATAGTTTCATTAATATTAGACTAAATACACAAAAAGCTAGACAAAAAAGGGTCACTTCATAATGCCCAAAGTTAAATACATCAAGAAGAAATATTTCCTGATGTATGCATCTAATAGTTCAGCCTTAGAATTACATAAAGCAAAACTAACTGAACCATATTGGGAAACATACAAATCCCTTTGATTTTTACCTACTGGGAAATGTTAACCTACTTCTCTGTAACTGCTAAAAAAAAAAAATCAGTATTGCTATAAACAATTTGAACAACATAATTAATAAACCTGCAGAATACTTATTTTCCAGCAAACAGAACATTACAAAACATGATGTATGCTGAGCCATAAACACAAGTCTTAAGGGATTTTAAAGGAACAAACTCAGAAAGAATGTGTTCTCTGACCACAATGCAATTAGGCTAAAAATAAAAAAGGATATAACAAAAGCTGAGAGGACACATTAACAAAATAGAAAAGAAATACATAATAGCAACTGATCACAGGAAAAAAAAGACAGAAATAACCAGTATCACAAATAAAATGACTACAACTCCTACAGACATGTAAAGGAGAATGACATGAAGAACTTTATGTCAATAAATTTGAAAATTTAGGTCAAATGGACAAACTCTTAGAAAATGTAATCTACTAACAATGACTCAAGAAGACATAGAAAACCTGACCAGTCCCATAATAATAAAGAATATACCTCATTGGCTCAAACTCTTAAGCCCATATTGGTTCATTAATAAATTTTACCAAACTCTCAAGGAAGAAAAATCCCAATAATACATTTCAATATTCCAATGCATCCAAGAACAAAATGGAAACATTCCCAAATAATTTTGTGAAACTAGAATTATACTGATATGGAAACCTGAGGAGATACCAAAAAAGGAAAATTAGAGGTCAATCTCACTCATGAACAAAAATACAAAATGAATGAATGGATAATGACTGCACAAACATATAAGACAACTGAATTCTGCAAAGTATAATAAGCACACTTTGTTATGATAATAATACACCATGTAAGTTTAACTTAAAATAAAAAATTAAGATTATTCATATAATCAAATTCTAGATTAAAAAATGAAATAATCAAATACAAAAAAAGCATTTTGATAAAATACAACCATTCATGGTAAAATGTATTAGCAAAGTAGAAGAGAACTTCCTTAATCTAGAAAGCAAATAATATTTACAAAAAACTTATGAGCAAACATCATGGTGAAATCTTGAAAGTTTTCCCTCTATGTTCAGAAGTTACAAAACAGAGAGGTACGGAAGAATCAGCATAGCAGGCTCGACGCTGTTATCCTTAGACGATTCTGCTTATAGGATTGCCCTTGACTGGTGCCTGGGAATTTGACTGACTGGTAAATGGTTCCCTACACTGACATAAAGCTTTTCCTAAAATGATGAGAACGGTTCACTGAGCCTAAATTGTTTATATAAACAATGTGGTTTTATCTCATGTCCTTCTGGGAGTCTGGAATTTGGCACATGCTAGGCAGAGGGTGCTTCTGCGACCAGCCCCCAATAAAAACCTTGGGCAGTGCTGCTAATGGGCTTCCCTGGTAGACAGCACTTCACAAGTGTTATCACAACTCATTGCCAGAGGAATTAACTACCGTATTTCCCCATGTATAAGATGCACCTTATTTTGGAGGCCCAAAATTTGAAAAAAAAAATGTATTACATAAAGTTACTGAACTCAAGTTTTAGTCATCATAAAATTCATACAACTCCTCATCATTGTCAAAACTCCCAACCATTAGCTTGTCCTCATCTGTGTCTGATTACGAATCACTGTCTTCATATATTGCCTCTCATGGCCTTCTTCTGCCTTGGCGTTTTCAGTAGGGTTTCTTCTTCCCGTAGCCAGTCTCTGATTATTTTCTCAGTTGGAGGAGGACAAAGCTTACGTTCAGCAGCATGATTCCCATTCACTTTTGCAAACTGGATCACTTTTAACTTGAATTCAGCATTGTACGAAAATCTTTTCTGAGCCATTTATGGGCAGAACGTGGCAAAACGTAACCTATCGTAATATACTGGTAACAAGTGCGAAACAATGAACGCAAAGACAAGTGTGAAAAAGCGGGAAATGCAAATAAAAAAATCTACAACCACTGTATAAGATGCACCCAGTTTTTAGACACCAAATTTTTCAAAAAAGGGTGCATCTTATACATGGGGAAATACGGTATGTATTGGGTAACTCCAATGGGAGAGGAATCTTGGAAGCCTTCAGCTGAATTCCTCTAGACTTTAACCTGTATGCTTTTTTTTTTAATAAGAATTTTTATTCGGGAAGTGGGGGATGAGAACAGCGCTGGGGAATTGGGGAAGGGGAACAGACAAGTTGCTGCCCTTTTGTTCTTCAGTCTAGTTGTGGAGGACGTTGCTTCACTGGCTCAAGTTGGCACCCTCATTGCGCTCTTCCCGGGCGAGGCAGATCAGTTGCCGGCTTCTGGACGGCCGCTCACTGCGGCTGCTGGCCGCTGACGCTGGCTGCTGGCTACACACGGTAGCCCATGGCAACCCACTGCAGCCTACATCATCACCAGTGACTCATGGCAGCCCAGCTCCAGGTTGAGCTGTTGTTCAGCATCTTAGCTGTAGAGGGCAGTGTCACTGGCCCTCATATGTGGGATCCGAACCGGGGCCCTCTGGCGTCCCAAGCCAGCTCTTAACCAACGTGCCACTCGGCCGGTCCCTGTATGCTTTTTTCTTTTGCTAATTTTGCTCTGTACCCTTTCACTGTAATAAATTATAGTCACAAGTATAATTGTATGTTGAGTCCTGTGAATCCTAGCAAAATCAAACCTAGGGGTGGGCTGGGGCTTACAACTTAAATATCTACTATCATCATTAGTATTTGACATTGAATTGGAAGACCTAGCTATTCCAATAAGGCAGAGAGAGACAGAGAGAGAGAGGGAGAGATTGATTAAAAGAACAAGGATAGAAACAAATTGTGAATAACTGTTTATAGAGAAAATCTAAAGACTCTATAGATAAGGTGCTGGGATAGATCTGAATATGGCTGCTCACTATAATATAAACAAAAATCTCATTCCTAAATGTCAGCAAAGAGAATAAAAAATTAAAAAGAAAATGCTTTTTAAAACAGCATTAAAAAAAAGAGTGCCCAGGAATAAATCTAACAAAAAATGTGCAAGACCTCCACTGAGAAAATTATAGAGAGAAATTAAAGAAGGCCCAAATAGATGTAGAGGTACAACCCAGCCAAGGGTTTAAAGATTCAATGCTATAGAGACGTCCAATCACCCAAATTATTCTACACAATAAATGCAACCCCAATCAAAACTCCCAATTTGGAAGAGGGGGCACTGTAGAATCAACAGATTGATTCTTCCTATTTGTATATAATTACAAAGAGCCATACCCATACTCTATCTAGGAAATAGAATATAGACATACTCTAGATAAGGAACAAAGTGGGAGGACTTACTCTATGATAGCAAGTTTTAGTTAAAAATAACTACAATAATTGAGAGAGTGCAGTATTGGTGTGGATAGACAAGTAGACAATCAAAATGGAACAAACAGGCCAGAAACTGACCCAGGCACGTATGGATGCTTAATATACGACAAAGGTGGCCCTGCAGAGCAATAGTAAAAGGATGAACTTTTCAGTAAACGGTGCCAGGAAAAGTAGATTATCCATATGGAAAATTCAATAGGACCTCCACTTCACATGATACACAAAAATCAATTCCAGGTAGTTTACAGACATAAATGTGAGATGCAACACTAAACAGCTTTTAGAAAATAAGTATGGGAGAAAAGCTTTATAACTTCAAGTTAGGGAAGAATTTCTTTATAAATACATAAAACGACTAACTATGTACAGGAAACAAATGATAAATTTGCCTACATTAAAATTAAGACCATCTATTCACCAAAAGACACTAGAGAGAGTGAAAAAACAAGCCATGGAATGGAAGGTCTTTACAACACACAGATACAACTATCAACTGGCATCCAAGAAACACAAAGAATTCCTACAAACCAGTAAGAAAAAAAAAAGTTGACCAATAAAAAGATGAGCAAAACTTGAACAGGCATTCCACTGAAGAGAAAATTCAAATGGCCAGTAAAATATCTGAAAGGTGCTCAAGTTCATTTGGAATCGGGAGAACTGCAAATTAAAAAACACAATAAAAGGCCGGCTGAGTGGCGCGTTGGTTAAGAGCTGGCTTGGGACGCCAGAGGGCCCCGGTTCGGATCCCACATATGAGGGCCAGTGACACTGCCCTCTGTGTTCAGCTAGGATGCTGAACAGCAGCTCAACCTGGAGCTGGGCTGCTGTGGGTCGCCGGCGATGGTGTGGGCTGCAGCTACTGCTGCAGTGGGTTTGCCATGGGCTACCATGTGTAGCCAGCAGCCAGCGTGAGCAGCCGTCCACAAGCCGGCGACTGATCTGCCTCGCCCGGGAAGAGCGCAATGATGGTACCAACTTGGGCCAGTGAAGCAACGTCCTCCACGGCTGGACTGAGGAGCAAAAGGACAGCAACTTGTCTGTTCCCCTTCCCCCAATTCCCCAGCGCTGTGCCCATCCCCCAACTCCCCAATTAAAAAAAATCTTAAAAAAAACACACACTAAAAATACAGAGCCATCAAACTGACAAACATTTTAAAACTCTGACCAAATCAAGTATTGGACAGGATGTGACAATAGGTTCATTTATACACTATTGGGAGCTGGTATAACCACTTTGGAAAATATTTTGGTAATCTAGTCAAACTGAAAATACACATACTCCACAATAAAGCAATTCCACTCCCAGGTATAAACCCTAGAAAAACATGTGCACATGCAAACCACAATTCATAAAAAAATTGTTCATAGTAGCATTGTTTCTAAAGTTTTTTGTTATTACAGAAAACCCAAAGTCCATGAAGAGTAGAATGGATAAATTGTAGTACAATCCTAAACTAGAAAGCTATTCAGAAATAAGAATGGATCAGGGATGGGCGCAAAGGGGTTGTAGGAAACTTTTGAGAAACTGGTAAATGTTCTAATTGTTAGACCTGGGAGGTAGTTACATGGATGTTCACTTTATAAGTATTCATTAAACGGTGTATTTCTTTTATGCTTTTTTTAACGTGCATGCCATAATTCACAATAAAAAGAAAAAAATTAAAAAGTAACTTTTCTTTTAAGTGGAATTTGCATATGCCTAATTAAACTTGAAGAAAAAAAGAGTTGATGCATGATAATTTCTTTCAAATGTGTATGTCATGTCTGTCCGAGTAACACCAATAAAATAGGGCATTTAAAAGGTATTAAAATTCTGCAACTTCAATACTAACATAGTTATCTGAAAAATAAACATAATTCCATGACATGATTTAATAACATCAAAGAATTTCTTGAACTGTCACAGCTGCAAAATATTTCAAATACGTAAACTTTAAATTCTGAACAGTGCTCAAAGAATGAAAAAGGGATAAAAGGGGTATGAAGATTAAGTGTACTGAAACAGCAAGTCCTGTTAGCTCTTCCTTCAAAACCAGAATCTAATTTCTTTCCAATAATTCCAACAGCATTATCCAAGCCACCATCATCTCTCACCTGAACCACAGCAATAACCCTGTAACTTGGTCTCCTTGCTTCCAATCTTCCACTCTTGCCAGCTAAAGTCCATTTTCTACACAGCAGCAAGAGTGATCTTTCAAAAAGCACTCTCAAAACCTTCCCATGGCTTCCATTTTCATTTAGAATTAGAGCCCTCACCAGTTTCTCTGAACTCATGTTCAACATTCTCCTCTGTCAGCTATGCTTCAGTCACCTCACCCCTTTTTTAATTCCTCAAACACACCAACCTCATTCCTGACTCAAGAGTCTTTATTTTTGCTTTTGTCTTTACCTAGTAAGTCTTCCTCCAGATGTTCACATGACTGCCTCTTTTTCATCATTCAGATCGCTGCTTAAATGTCATCTCTCAGAGAAGGTTCTCCTGACCACTACTCAAACATGGTATCCTCACAACTTCCACCCAACAAACACCTTTCTCATTTTCTTTAATCTGCTGTGTTTTCTTTACTTTCCACATGCACTTAACTCTATCTGAAATTTTATTTGTTCTTCTACTTATCTCCTGTCTCTCCCCCTACAAGCTCCATGAGGGGAAGGACTTTGTTTTGGTCACTGCTGTATCCTCAGTAACTGGAATAGCCCTAGACCATGGTAGCCACTTAATACATTTGTTGAGTGAAAAAAAATGAATCTAACTAATTGGAAGGAATTCTAACTGGAAGGGATTAGAAGAAATGCTTACATGTTTATTGCTTAATGGTCTTTTCAATAAAGCATCTCTGGAAATATGGTCTGCTGTTCTTGCCACATCTTCCAAAAATCGATAATCTAAAAATTTCAAAGTAGAAAAATAAACAAACAATATATGCCAATTTCCAGGAAACATCAATCTGCTATGCATAAGATGGCTTACCACTTAAGAGATTCATTTCAGTAAACTGTTGTACTGAAACATATGCCGTTTTATCTCGAACTCCATTACATGTCAGTTCTGCTTTGTGTTTCTTTACACAGGGCAAACTAAAGAGATAAAGAGGAGGTACTTTTATACTTTGAGGTAACGAAAGTACAGATAGAGATAATAAGGTAGGAAATTACATTTATACCTGCAAGAATATCGCATACAACGTGGACATCTGTATTTTGCTTCTTCTGTACCACAAGTTTCACACCTATAAAAGCCCACATGAAACTTAATTATCAAATATTAATTCTCCTTATTTGTTTATAAACTTAATCTGAGTCAATTATTGGTCACGATCAATTTACAGACGTAGTCATAGTGAAAAAAATATATGCAAGTAACTGATAAAGTACTTGATAGCTGGCAAACATCATTAGAAAATTTTCCTCTGGGAAACTGTCTCCAAATGACAACTATATTTACAATACTGTTAATGATATGTAATTAAAAAATGTATTAAATTAAAAAAAATCACCTCTCCTTTGACTTCTTTTGCTACTATAATTAGAGAATGAGATTTTTCAAGGATATTTTAACTTGTAATTCCTGGCAATCTGTTAAAGATTGGGTGAGTGTGTGCATATACCCAGAAGTCCAATTCATGAGCTAGCTATGTTTAGATATCTTAAAGGCACACACACCAGTGGAATATATTGGGTTGTCGGAAAAGTCATGATGCATTTTTGCAACAGAAAACATAGAAAAAAACACATCATCACTTTTCCAACAACCCAATAATACCCAGTCGAATTTAGAGAGTAGTAGTTGCATCTTTTTTCCTCAACCCCATATCCAGCCAAGAATGGGCATCAAAATAATCAAGAAATGTTATTACCCATAATCTGTTTTCAACTTCTCTTCTAGGATCTTGGGATACTGACAACCAAACTAACAGCTACTTCTATTTCGCCTATTGTGTTCTAGATAGTAACAGTCCCACGAATCTGACCACATTTTTATTTCCTATGCTGCCACATGATTACACACTATTGGGAAATTAAATAAAAAGTAATAAATATTCATAGTACCCATACAGAAACTAGACAATTGGGTGCGTTCAAGTACATTTTTGTCTAATTTTAACTCAATTCACTTTGTCCTTGTTGGTTTTATTAGACTTTTTCTCATGTTTATTCTCTCTCAGTTACTGAGTCAAGAGCATAGCAAGTCAAGCTGTAATCTGGTCCACGGCTTTTCTGGTTCCCACAATTTTCACCTCCTGATTTGCCCACTGGACATTAGCAACCTCATATTTTCACTGAATTTGCTGTCCCCTGACAAAACCCTCCCTTCCCAATTCCCCACTCCCACCGCTCAGGCTCTAGGGCCCCAAATGTGTGCTGATTTTCCATTATGCCACACCCGGCTGGTGGTGCAGTTTCCTCCACTCTAGGCCAGAGAAAACGCCGCAGCTTTACTCCTCCCATGGCTATCTCCCTGCCCTACCTTGACATGGCCAGTTTCCGCTTGGAGCCCACTGGGGAATGTATCTGAGGCTCTTCTTTCAGCTTCGTATCATCCACCGTTTCTTGCTTCGGGAAATGCTTTTCTTCTTTTACACACACCTCACCCATCATTTCCTCCTTTTTTATGTTCTGACCAACAAACGCCTCCTCCTGTTTTATCTCCAACTTTCCTTTCTTCTCTTCCTTCACCTCTAGGCAGTCCATCACCTCTTCCTTCACTTTCACTTTCTCTTCCTTTACTTCTGGCTCCCCCACCTTCTCTTCTTTTACCACCAAACTACCACCCATCTCCTGCTTCACCTCCAACGGGTCCGGTTTCTCCTCTTTCACCTCAGGCCCATCCTCCACCTCCTGCTTGACCCACTGGCCATGCAGCACACCTTCTTTCATTCCCGACCAGTCCATAACTTCTTGCTTCAAGACCGTGAGATCCACTCGCATTTCCTCCGCCCCTTGTCCACTTTCTTCTTCTCTACCCGCTCTCTTTTCCATTCCTGTCGGTCCATAACCCGCCTCTCCACCGCAGGCCTCCTCCGTCCCTGCTGTGGCCCTAACTCCCTCCCTACCGGACTGGATACATAGCCGCGCCCCTTCAGCTCCAATCTGGAGACCGCCTCCCGACGTCTCTTCATTCTCGGCAGCAAAATCCATCAGCTCACGACCCTTGGCATCCGCTGCCGCTCTGTCCTTCGATATGGCTGGTCCACGCCAATAGAAATGAGCTACCGGCGGGATTACAGACAGCGGCCCACGTGTGGGGCAGAGAAGTCACTAGCAGTGAACGCCGGCCTGGCGTGTTCCTCCAAACCGTAAAGCAACGCTTCCGCGCCTCGCCACTTCACGACTCGTAGAGCTGTTTACGGCTCTGATCCTCCCAGAGCCCGCCCAGATCCTCCGAATTGTCATGAGGCCACGCCCTCCGTGGCCCCGCCTTCGGGGCGGGGCTTCGCCAAACCCTTCCCCTGGGGAGGCCGCCTCCCGCCCCAGCCTCTGCGCGTGACCACACTCATCTCGCTGAAGACTGGAGGATCCGGGCGCTAAACCCATTGCCTTGGAATGGAGAGATCCATCCTGCTTTGTATTAAAGATTAACTTTGTATGAAAATGGAAGAAACACCTCATGTTATACACCTCTCCAAGCTTCAGTTTCTTCACCTATATACTAGAGACGGCGGTATTACAAATCTCTTAGTGATATTGTAAAGATCAAATGGAATCCTGCATGGAAATAAGATAGCAGTGACTGAAACAAACTCAATATATGGTGGCTATTATTACTGGAAATCCCCATAGGTTTCAGATAGGAAAGAAGGCATTAACTTTTATTCTTTCAATTATTTGTCAGTAATAGCCCACATCAACTAGTTCCCCATTCTCAGCATCCTACAGGACTCTAAGATATATACATACATATATATATCTTATTTATATATTTATTTATATATGTCATATTATATACATATATATAGAGAGATATACTATATCATATCTATGTCATATCTATATCATCTATATATCTATATCATCTCTATCTGTATCTATATATCTATATCCATATCATTTATATCTATATCTTCTCCCTATTTAAAGACTGGGCCAAAAATTTAATCCCCAGGACTAGAAGATGTAAAAAATACAAAAAAACAAAGAACAAACCACCACCCTTGTATCTGTTTCAATTATTTTTTAACATTATTATTACATATTAGGCATTAGGCACTTTCACCTAATCTTCATTCACATCATGTCTGTGAGATATATATTTTTCTCACTGCAATAGGAGACTCCAAAGAAACGGCTTATTAGCTGTGGGTTACTTTGTGCTCCCCTCTCAAATCCTGTTATAGTGTAAAGGACATTTAGCTGTTATCATTCATTCACACATTGCTCAGGGAATGGGGATTTTGAATGGATGAGCAGAATAAGGAAGAGGAGTAATTATAAAACCTTAGTTGGGGCACCACTGATTAAACAGTGCTGGAAGGAGCATTGAAGAAAGTTGGGAGAGTTTAGTAAAATCTTCGTATGGGTTGTGATAAAGAAGCTTCTTGAGAATAACACAGTTTCTTTTGGAGATACTTAGAGGTGTCAACTGTCCATGGAGTCAAAAAGAGCCTGACTGGATTTTCAGACTAGCTGACATGTTTACACTTAGGAAAAGGAGCTAAATGACAGAAAGAATCCTTGTAGCCTCGATAAAGACAAGATTTGGGAGATGGCAGCAATGAGAGGGAGTCAGAATAAAACCATCTGGGTTTCCATTTAAGATCACAGAGAAACTTCTGGAACTACAGGTCAGAAGCATAAAGACTTCATAAGATTTGGAACTTTTGTCAATTCCTCATGTTTGTTCTTATCATCTGTCTACTTTTTTTCACAGTCACTGGAAGGCAAATCGTTAAACCAGTAAGGATCCTTAGTAGCATCACAGCTAATCACCTAAGTTAAACAATCAACACTGTGGGACTATAGTTTTAATGGGAATATTGGAGGGTGTGGTGGTGTTATTGAATGGCAGTTTTGAAGGAAAAGTGAGGCTTAAGTAGCTCTGGAGGGGGGAACTTTAGGTTGTGGGAGTATAGAGCCAGGGTATTGCCTGCAAGAACAGAGACAGGGTAGGGACAGAGAAAGGGAGGCAGAAGGTCCATGAGGTTGTCATTGAATTCCTATCCAGTTCCTGAAATCTTTTTCCCTCCCTTTTCCACCTCAGTGGAGTAGAGCTCTGTATAAACCCAGCTCCTTCAGTAAAAAGTTGAACTTGCTTGCTGTACCCCATCATCTGTCTCCCATCCCTGCACTGAGCATCCCAGATTAAAAATTATTTCTGGGTGTGTCTGTGAGGGTGTTTCTGGACGAGATTAGCATTTGAATCAGTGGACTCAGTAAACTGCTCTCCCCCATGTGTGTGGGCACCATTCAATCAATCCATTGAGAGCCTGAGTAGAACAAAACAGCAGAGAAAAGAGGAATGTGCTCCCTTTTGCTTTCTGTCTGCCTTGCTTGGATTAGGACATCACATCTCCAGCCCCTGGAATGGGTTTTAAACCACTGACTCCTCTGGTTCTCAGGCCTTTGGACTTAACTGAATTACACCACAGCTTTCCTGGGTCTCCAGCTTTCAGACAGTAGATTGTGGGACTTCTCAGTTTGTATATTCATGTGAATCAATTCGTCACATAAATCTCCATATTATGTGTGGGCGCGCACGCGTGTGTGTGTGTGTGTGTGTGTATACACATATATATAATGTATTATACATAAGTATACATTTAATGTATTATAATATACACATATGTATAATACATATAATGTATTTTAATATATATATATATATATATATATATAAAATCTATCTATCTGTCTTTCCTACTGGTTCTGTTTCTTTGGAGAATCCTATTTAATATTCTTTTATTATTCCCACTTTACAGTGAAAAGACTGAGGCAATGATGAATATACTATATAATACATCCAATGATGCATATACGTCACACAGCTACTCCTCAGAACACCAACTACTATACTAAACTGCCTATGACTAAGTTGATTAAAATTTGCTTTAAAATTAATATTTTAGAAACAAAACAAACACAAAGTATTTCTATTTTATATTTCTTAAATTACATCTAGGAAATCACTTATGTCTGAAATAAATCTCTTTTTTGGGGGAGGTAACAGAAGGTAATAGCATATAGACTGAAACTAGAATTTAAAACTATGTTTTTTTTCCCTTTAAAATCAACCTTTGCTGTTTTAAAAACATTTCTATGTTCCTCAAGCAGGAAATCAGACATCCTTGCCATAACCCCATTAAAAAAAAAAAACTATGGCAAAATATACAATATAAAATTGGTCATTTTAATCAATAAAGTACACAATTCAGTAGCATTAAGTACATTCATATTGTTGTGCAACCATCATTACCATCTATCTCCAGAAATTTGTTATCATCCTAAACAGAAACTCTGTACTCATTTAAAAATAATTCCTCATTCCCACCTGACCCAGCCTCTGTTAACCCCTATTGTATTTTCTGTCCATGAATTTGTCCTATCCTTGGTATTTCATATAAGTGGAATCATACAATATTTGTCCTTTTTCTTTGTCTAGCTTATTTAACTTAGCATAATGTTCTTAAGGTACATCAATGTTGTTGCATGTATCAGAATTTCATTTCTTTTTAAGGCTGAATAATATTCCATTGTATGTACAAACTACATTTTGTTTATGCACACTTGGGTTGTTTCCATCTTTTGGCTCTTCTGAATAATACCTCTATGAACACTGGTGTACAAATACCTGTTTGAGTCCCTTCTTTCAATTCTTTTGAGTATATACACATGAAGTAGAATTTCTGGATCATATGGTAATTCTATGTTTAACTTTTAAGGAACTGCCAAACTATTTTCCACAGTGGTTGCACCATTTTACAATCCCATCAGCAATGTACAGGTTTCCAGTATAGCCACAACCTCACCAACACTTATTTTCTCTCTCTCTCTCTCTCTCTCTCTCTCTCTCTCTCTCTAATAGCAAACCTAATGGGTGTGAAGTGGTATCTAACTATGGTTTTGATTTGTATTTTCCTAATGGCTAGTGTAGTTGAGCATCTTTTCGTTTTTTGGCCATTTGTATATCTTCTTTGGAGAAATGCCTTTTAAGTCCTTTGCCCATTTTTCAGTTGGATTGCTTGGTTTTTCTTTTTGTTTGTTTGAGTTGTAGGAGTTCTTTATGTATTCTGAATAATAATCCCTAATCAGATACATGATTTGCAAGTATTTTCTCCCATTCTGTGGGATGGATATCTTTCACTCTCTTTCCCTCCTCCCCCCTCACCCCAGGCTATTAACATCTAGAGAGAGGAAGGAAGGTTATGGAAATCACCAAAGGGCAGAAGATCCAGGCCTACTCTATTCACTTCATCAGCTAGCTACCTAAAGTCTCCAGTGTGCAGCTAAAAGATTAAGAGCCAAGGGCCGGCCAAGTGGCTCAGTTGGTTAAGAGCTCACTCAAGAGTGTGAGCTCTGAGCAATAGCGGTTTGAGTCCAGCCCGAGCTGAGCAGCCACTGAGCTGCCAACAGGTGGCAGGATGGCTCAGCTAAGAAAAAAAAAAAAGATTAAGAGCCAAATATTTCCTGGTTATTTCTCCAGTTAGCAGGGTCTCTCTCCCCTACATAGCTGTTTTTGTACCTCATCCCAAACCCAAAAGACTGGTGGGAGCTCAGAAACCCCAACGAAACAATCTTATTATAATTTAATGTAATAAAGTGCTGGTTCGTGAGCAACACTGGAAGCTGCAAAGATGGAGCACCTTGTGTGTAGTATTCATGGCCATGGTGTTCATGTCTCAGGAGTTTGAGGATCATGGGGAAGTAAGGAAAGCCAGGAGAATCACTGGTGAGGAGTGACTTGTTGAATGAATGAATGAATGAATGAATGAATGAATGAATAAATGAGGGAATGAAGGAATGAATGAAGTCAGATGAAGAGGAAAACCGCTCCCTTCAGATCAGATAGTTTCCAGGAAGAAGGGCAAGGAACAGGAATCTCTAAAGCTGGCAATGGAAGAACCTCACAGGGATGTTTGTGTACACACGCCCCTGCTGGCCAGGCAGTGGGCCAGCAACCAGGCACTCTCCGCCCACAGATGTCCGGCACCAAGGTGAGGATGCTGCTAGCTGGTCCCAACTCCACTCCATACCCTGAGCCGGTCTCAAAGATGCAGATGAGATCTTAATTCTTTCCAAGACACTTGTTTGTTCCCTTCTCCCCATTACCAGCCAGAATCCTAGAGGATCTAATTCAGAAAACAGCTAGGGAGGGGTGGTGGTGGTGGTGGGGGGTGCTGTCTTTCACTCTCTTGATAGTGTCTTTTGATGCACAGAAGTTTTAAGGTTTTTTTTTTGACTCAAGATTTTTCTGTTTATTGCCAAAGTATATTACAAAACCCTCTTCCTATCACAACACTTTCTTTTTTAATTTTTTATTGTTAGTTTCAGGTGTACAGAACAATGCAATATTTATCCTTTTCACCCTTCACACAGACACAACCCTCCTCCCCATCTACTGCCCTCCCACCCCCGATATCATACTTATCTATTACAATTCCATTGACTCCTTTCCCAAACTCTACTCCACGTCCTGTGCCTATATGTCTTTATAATATATTTGACATACAATACTATTCAACATCAGTTCAGAAATACAGTGCGGTGGTCAGGCCTCTACACCGTCTATGAGGTGGTCTCCCTAACAAGACATGAGTCCATCTGGCCCCCTAAAAAATATTTACGGAAGTTTTAAGTTTTGTTGTAGTTCAATTTGCTGTTTCTTTTTTTGATTGTGCTTTCGGTGTCATCTCTAAGAAGTCAGTGCCAAATCCAATGTCATGAAGCCTTTTCCCTATGTTTTCTTCTAAGAGTTTTATAGTTTTAGCTCTTACATTTAGGACTTTGATCCATTTTGAGATAATTTTTGTATACAGTGTAAGGTAAGGGTCCAACTTCATTCTTTTGCAAGTGGATATCCAGTTTTCCCAGCAGCATTTGCTTAAAAAAACTTTCCTTTTCCCATTGAATAGTCTTCCCATCCTTGTTGAAAATCAGTTGACCACATATGGAAGAGTTTATTTCTGTGTCATGACCTCATTTTGTAAAAATAGGAAATAGGCCATATAATACTTTTATAGGTATGTAACTATATATATATATATATATATATATATATATATATATATATATATATATATATATATAAAGAGCTATACCAGAGGGGCTACCATACATAATAAAAGGATATGGCAACAAAAGAAGAAAAACAAATACCACCAAAACAGATTTAAAGCACATTTTTATTATAGATAGGTAAGTGTGGTTTGCTGCAGCTAAAGGCATGTTTATAATGGATGTACAAGCTTTTCTAAATACCAAAGGTATAATATTTTTCTTTTAATAGTGAACTAACATTTCTCTGATAACAAGAAATGTCTGAATTGGATGAGTCTATTTTAAATGGCAAAAGATTTTTTTTTTCCTGGATGTTGCTTAAAAGATTGATAAATTAAATTCTTTTAGGTCCCAACACATTAAATTTAAGAACAGTGAAAGAAAATCAATGAATACTATAAAAACATGTAATTTCTATGAAGCACAAATATAAAGTTTTTATAATTTAAAACAGCAGCAATTTCAAAAGATTTGCTGAATCAAAACTTTACAAAATATATATACACAAAGTATCATTCCAGATGATCATGGATTTTAAAAAATAGTATATCACAATTCCCAAACTCTAATCCAAACCTACTACTGAATGTAGCTGGCCTATAACAATTTTTACAACAATTTAAAAAATAAAACAAAAACAAAAGAAACCTCCCAATTCTCTTGTGCATAAGCACAGGTCACAATATACTGGCTTTGACTCCATATCCACAAAGAGAATTTTAAACTAGAACAAGAACTTCACATAAATAATGTTTTACTTGTTATTAAGTATGTGACCAAACAAATTAAAATAAGTACTAACAACCAAAACATATCTTGATGCAACCAGTACATACGCTCTTAAAGAATGACAAAGACAAAAAAAGAAAATTGTCTACAAAAGCCACAAGCACCTTGTTTTAGGAAAAGCACCAAGCAACACAAAAAGGCAACACGTAAGAGGTAGTGTACCACCGGCTAAGATGTACATGTCCATTGGGGACCTGAATACAGCTTAGTATTTGGAAAAATAAGACATATTAGACTGTGGCTTATAATTTTTAGACAGAAGCATTGCACATCCGGGAACATTAGCCAGTATTGCTCCGTAGCGCTCTGCATCTCCAGCTGTCTAATGGGTACTTTGCTCTCAGACAGTCAAAAAATATAGGATACCCTGAAGAATTCCATGTTTATAAATTTTCAGTTCTAGGGAATTCTCTAAGAAAACTCAGATCAATATAATTTTTAAAAGAATTAAATACTTTATCAATTATAGTCCTTTAAAGAATGCCTTTTCTCCTTCCTAGGAGGAAGTCTTTTCTTCCTGAGATTCTTTAAGATTTAGCCAATGCTTTATTCCATGCATTTCATAATAATAGTATCTTTCTGTCTATATTTTTCCCTCTGCAGCAATTACCTGACCAACAGCATGAATTTGGAACTAATTCAGAGACTTTAGAGAAAGCATACAGAACTGCTTTCAATGTAGTATTTTCGTTCAGCTTTGAGATGAGGAAGTTTTTGTACTTCAATTACTGGAAGCTGATTAGGGTCCTGGGTGTGAAAAAGAAATTTTGCCTTATGCCAGCTGCCATCTTGAATCTGTGAAATAAGAACAAAATACTTTAATATGTAATTGTTTCATTAGCAGTCATTCTCAGCAGACAATGTTTTTCAGAGACAATGTAGACTTATTTTAAGGATTAGAGATAATGAATGGAAAGTGAGTAGAGCAATGCCTGGCACAGAGTAAGTGCCCAATAGATAGTAATAATTACTAAGAAAAATTGAAAACATAGACTTGTTCCTTTCTCTAAATTGCACTGTGCGTTCTGATTTTTCAGTTTCAGAGGCTAAGGCTAGCCTTTTGCTGCTGTTGTCTGTGAATTGCTGGACCGTATATGAAATAAAAGGCTGCATTATTCCTAAAATGATTAATACCCATCTGTTCTGTGTTCCTTTATTTGGGACTGATTTTCCAGGATGGGCATTTTCATTGGATGCAAGGGAATGTGTTATCTCAACCTCTCTGTACTTTAGGCAGAAAATAACCAGAATAATCTCTTTAGTCAGAAGTAAATTGTAATTCTGTTAAATCATTGTTTAGGTTTCTTTTTTTTCCATTTGTGGTTACCATTTATATAATTTCTTTCTTTCCTATCTTCCTTCTAGGCCTTTCTGTTTCTCTTATTACTGTATGCTCTTTTGTTTTTTGATAAATTCTATTATGGGACAAAAACTATCATAAAATATCCTATGATTAAGATTCAATAAGACAAAATAGAGAAATACAAGTGATTAGTTTTGTGAAACTGTTTATTCAGGAGTTTATTCACTTACTGATTCACAGGATTATCATGGCATAAATTTTAAAATTTGAAGAAACTTTAGAGATTATTAAAGATATAAATTCCATTTTAAGTTAAGGCAATAGAAGTTCACTAAAGATAAACCTCTGAAGTCGTAAGCTTGGTGTGATAACTAGAGCGAGAGTTCTTTATGTAAGACAGTGTTAGCTTTAACATTAAATCTTTCAAGAAATATTTATTGAACACAATAAGTACATTTGGCACAGTTGAATACGGTGTAATTCTTTATTTTCTTACAGTACATGGGAAATATAAAGATAAACAAATTATTTCTGGCTTCTGAATTCTATCTAGCAGCTTATAAATCTAGTTGATGAAAGAAAAAAACATAAACAAATAGCCATAATACCAGACCATAAGTGGTAAGTGCAGTATAAATGATGTAGACAATGAGTGCTAAATTCCTCTTTTCCTACTGGAGTAGTTAGGGAAAACTTCAAGAATTCAGAATTCAGATATTAAGATGGGCCTTAAAGTATGCCTAAAATTTCCACTTGGTTACAGAGGTAGAGGGCATTTTAGAGAAAGGAAATGACATGAGTAAAACAAAACAACAACAACAAAGAGTTGAAAAAGTAGAAGGTGGTTGTGAAAATAAGCCTAACATGGGTTTAAGCACACAGATTTTGTCATGGAAGAGATTTTGATAGAAATTAAAGTACCTCCATTCTCTTCACATATAAAACGGGAATAATAAAAACCTACCTCACAGGGCTGTGAGGATTCAATGAAATTTCAATGAAAAGTCCCTAACAGTATAGTGTGGTATAAGCTTTGAAGTCGTATCCATTAGCTGCATGACCTTGAGCAAATTACCTAACATCTCTGTGCCTTCACTTTCTTACCTGTAAAATGAGACTAATAATTTCTTCACAAAGCTGTTATAACTAAATAAAATAATGTATGTAATACATGGTACCTGCCATATAATAAGCCTCAAATAAAAACTAGTAGGAATTGTTGTTGATATGATGATGGTGATGATGAAGATGAAGAATAGATTAGTTTGGCCACAGTTTAGGGTAAACAGCCAGTGAAAGCCCAAGCTAGAAAGGAAGGCTGGGGGTCTGACCGCTCTAAGTACAGAATAAAGAGCTGATGAATTTGGATTGTGTCTTAGAGATGGTAGTGAGTCACTGGAAGTTTCTGGACAAAATTGTGAAAGTTAAATGAATTTGTTGGTTATATTGAGCTCTTCACTTATAGAGAACGAGCCATATACTTCTGACTATTGCCTATGATTTTTCAAATATGCAAGCACTATTTGTCTGGAAATGAAATGTTATGAAAAAGTAGAATTCCCTGGAAATGGTAATGGATATTAAATCAGAGGCTTCATAGTACACAAGAACAGGAAAGCAGGCCACCTAAAGTCATTAATAATATGTATGTAAGTGGACAACTCTATTCTCTATAACAAGGGTTGGCAAATGCTTTCATAAAGGGCTAGATAGGAAATGTAGGTTTTCTGAGGCATATAGTCTGCTGCATTTACTCAACTCTGCCATTGTAGTGTGATAACAGCTATACACAATATGTAAACAAATGAGTGTGGCTGTGTTCCAATAACATTTATTTACAAAAACAAGTGGTGGACTGGATTCGGCCTGGCGATGGTAGTTTGTCAACATCTGCTCTATCACACAATGCTTTAAAATTATAGATTTTTCATAACATTTATAATTTAATTTTAATAGGGAAAATGGGCTATAATTAAAATATTGATTGATGGATGAGTTAGTCTGAAATTATACCCATATTTGATATTAAGTATTGGGACTGACAAAAAGAAATAGAACTGACTTGTCTCTATAATCTGTCTTCCATTGAGTAATGAGATGTAGAAACACAGTGGTGAAAAATATATAAAACAAATATATTTATCTATATGCCTTATCTATCTATTATCTATCTATCTATCTATCTATCTATCTATCTATCTACCTACCTACCTACCTACCTATCCATCCATCCAGGTGTGATATAATTATTTCATATGCGAAATAAAAATTAAATTTATGTATTAACACCTGTTTTGCATATAAAAATCCATGGATGACCAATGAGTGTGACAAATGTTGATAAGCTATGATAAAAGCAAATGATCGATTCTGAAAAATGTATGATTATTACAAATCAGGCACATTAAAACTCACTACCCTGTATCTGCAGTTTGCAATTAGAGTCTTACTCTCATTATTTTAATTTTATAGTTACATAAATTTTAAGTAGTTAAATCGAACAATTCTAAAAGTGCCATTCCCTTACCTTGCAGTCATCTGAAAGCACTTTAGGTTCAAATAGAGTGTTTTCTTCAAAAATCTGGCCAGTCCATCCCTTGAAACCAATAGGCAATCCTGAAGCACTTGTCTGAGCACTTGTCCACACTGGAGTGTTCAGACAGTGAATGGTGATGAGTTGGGTGGCTTCTGAGCTCAGTAAATGAAGGAAATTCATCTGGACTTTTCCAACTCCAAACTCCAACTAATGTCATGGAAACAATATGCAGGTTATAAGATGTGGCAATTGAGAAATTTATAGTTTGGGGAAACCTGAGGAAAGTTCTTGAAAGGCAGCCTTGAGAAAGCTACTTTTCTTGGCATTTAAGTGCCAGTCAGTGGTGTGCTGGTAAATGCTTTCACCACTGACTCTTGCAGAGGCTGGTGGCGGGGGGGNGTGGGGGTGGGGGTACCCTGATTTACAGCGTTTTCTGATTTCCATGGTATTTTATACTCCAACCATGACTGATTTCAGGCTATCAAGGTGGTGTCATTGAACATGCCAGCCTGAGCTGGCTTCAGCATATCACTTGGGAACCAGACGAGATGAATAAAAAGAAGATAATTTTCATAATGTTATCTAGAATGCATTAGTTGTTTGTTGTCGATTAGTTGCTTTAATTTTTTTCATAAAAATATGAAATTGTCTCTACTTCTATTGGAAGTTTTTTTTTTTTGAGTTTCCAAAGATAAGTTACAAGTTGTCATAATAACTTCACTGAATAACTTTAACTATGAGAGCCTTTAGAGACAAGGACAGAATTTTATTCTTTGTGTTGCCAGCTCTAATGCAGTGCTAGTCATATAGTGTCATCAATAAATGTTTATTGAATGAATGCATGCTTGAACATCATTAAATAATACAGTGAAAAATTCACAGCAAAATTGGAGCAAGAAGGTCTGATTACACATTTTCCAGGCTTAGGCAAAGAAGTAGATTTTTCTATAGCTTTAGACTTAAATATTATTTAGACTTAATATTATTATTCACACAGGGATATGAACATAACATAAGTGAATATAAATGGTCCCTCCTGAGGAATTTATGTTAATTTCCAAACATAAAGTTAGAAAAATATCTGTTATGAGGCAACAGAGAAGAAAATAAAATGACAACATAAAAAGTAAAGCCCCAGGAAAAGGGAAGAAAGACAAAGGAAGGGCATACAGATGGAAAACATGAAAGAAGCATCATAAGGAACATAAGAGTTTAAGTAGTTTAAGTGCCTTCGTTTAACAGATGAGAATCACAAACTTGAAAAATTTAACCTTTCTGAGCCTTGATCTCCATGTTAGTCAAGTTGGGTATAACACTGCCATGACAGAGTTGTTATAAGGATCTGAGGTGCTAAGTGTCACTGAGCTCGCACAGTGCCTGGCAGAGACCAGGGTCTCTGGTGGCTCACAGTATCATTTCCCAAGTTATGAGAGGAATAGAAACTAGAACCCAGGTCTTAATTCTAAGTCTCCTCTTCTTTCCACTATCTACTATCTGCTCCGTCTTTCCCAGGTTGGGTTTATTGATAGGAGAGAACTAATTCAGTGAAGGGAAGAATTAAAGTACAGTTCCTTTACTGTTCCTGCCTCCTTTGCACAACACCCCCAGCCTCTTTCTTCTATGATAATCCAAGTAAAAACCCTGGGCCAAATCCAGGGGAGTGAGGATGATCATGTGGATATTTGGGAAGTAAGACTATCATGCTGCTCTTCATTAGAGGTATATAGATTCCTTAAAAATGGAAGAGTCTGTCCTTTTTCTGCTTTGGGGGCAATAATGGCGAATGCCTATTGAGATGAACTGGTGAAGCACCCTGGTTAATGAAGGGGATATTTTAGGAGGAGGAAGCAGTGTAAGGATAAGCAGTTACAGAGACTACACATTTTAGCTGCTGCCTTTTACGATGGGCAAAACACATAACTGGCACGTCTACCAGTTCTTCGTCAATGAGAAATAAGTTCTTGGTAACGCCAAGCTGGCTTAACCAGAAAAGTAAAGAAATACAGTTTTGATTTCTTCAATATATACTATAGGTAGAACTAAGTTTAGGTTTTATAAATGCTTGTTATAATACCCAGTGTTACACCAAACTAACTTTCATTCATTTTAAACATTTGGTCTATAAAATTATACTTGAAAGTTATATTTAAGGAAGGCTACTTTTGATCAATCATTAAAAAAGGCAAGTTTTGTGCAAAATTTGTCTTTTAAAGATGAGGCAATTTTCAGTAAAATTTTAGGTAACTGATTATTGATTACAAACCCTGCAGCTATTTGGGGATTTTCTAATGTATGTGCATACATAAAAACATATGTTCCACATTTTTAAAAGAAATTTAAGAAGCATAGTCAGTACAATAAGCCTATAAGCCAATCATAAAAATACACAGTTAAAATGTCAAGATTTACTTGGATTACTTTTTAAAAACAAAAATTTCTTTGTTACATAGGGTAGAGAATGATATCTTGCTTCCATTCACAAAATTCACAAAATAAATTCATCATTATTCAAAGTGACAGAATGTTTTAAATCATTGTTCATTGATACTGGGCAAGTACCAACATATATTCTAAAATTCAATACATACCTTTGTCACAGAAACAGGAGATAAACATGTCTGACCACCAGCACTGAAATTGCAGAAAACCTCAATGGCATCTGAAGGACATCCAAGATTTGGATCAATCCAGTATTTTCCTATTAATTTATTGTAAAACATTAAGATATTTAAATGCCATACTAAAATATGTTTGAACAATTCTTACAAATTATCATGATACTTTAAAGAGACATTTTGTCTTACTTGTAAAAAAAAGTTAGAAAATTATAAAGACATTCACATTTTGTGAATAAATGGAAGCTGCAAGGATTATATAAAATTAATACTGAAAATTTTATATTTTTCACATACCTATCAATTGAAGGGCATTTCATAATTTTAATAAAAAAATGAGAGAATGGCTGAATTTATTGCCTCATTCTACAGATAAGATGAGCTCAGCAGCTTAAAGTGAATTGTCTAAAGTTACACAGTTAATAGAAAAGTTGCACTCAATGTGGTATATGTGTATATTTCTGCTCTTCTTAAAAAGAATGTATATATTTTTAAAAAATAGAAACAACTTCTTCAATCTCTCTGTATCTTTAATATGTATCTATGATAATTAAAATAAATATAACATTTGTTTTCAAAAGGAAAAATATATAGTTAAATGGTTATCATTTTGGTGCTTTCTTCATCAGGTTTGTAAGTGGGAGAAACTGAAGTCCCTACAGCCAGTGTAAGACTGCCAACCTTTGCCTCCACTGAGGGCCCAGAAGAATCAAATGGGGCCTAATGTTAGCCTACAGGAAATACTAAGGCTGAAAAAGTATTGAGCTAGCATCATAATTCTAGAATAACAGACTCAGAGTATTGAAATTGCACTTATTCCAAATGCAAAGGGCAGAAGTTTTTGAATGAGGTAGCCCTGCTTTCTTGTGTTAAAAAGGCAAGACAATCAAACAGTATTGGTCAAATGTCATTTTCTACAAAAGGTAGAAATCTTTGTCTGTTCCACCCTTGCCATGTAGCAAAGATCCCTCTAGCTCATCCTGGCCTTCTTTAGTCCATCATTTTAGACTTCAAAATTCTCTCCTCTACTAGTCCACTAATCCTTCCAAATGAACACTTGCTGAATTGGTAGCTCTCAGAGCAGAGGTCTGTTATTGCAGTGGTTTTCAAACTTTAGTGGCATTAGAACCATCTGTTAAAACAGGTAGCTGGCTGGACTCCAATCCCAGAGTTGCTGATTCATTAAATCTGGGGTGGGGCTTGAGAATCTGCATTTCAACAAAATTGAATTCTGGTCCAGGGACCACATTTGGAGAACCACTGATCTACTGAAATATGGAAGAAAGGAATGAAAGCGACTCTACCCCATTCCCCTTTTTACCCTATTTATTCAGAATTTTGAATATTTTGTAAAGTTTGTAGAAATTAGACCTGGATTTTCTCCAGGATCTGACTGGTGTAGGCTTCTAGTCTTATCTAATGGGGCAAACATATCTTTACTCACAATCTCTTCTCTTCTAAGAAATAGTTGCATAATACTATGTGAGCCAATAAATTCTTTATAAAAAGTTGTTCATCAAGCAAACTCTTGTTGCTACATGGGGTAGAATGCTTTGAATTCAGGCACTAGATTGCACTATGGTGAACTGGTAGGGCCTCTATAATTTTTTCAGGATATACTGAGCTACAAATAAAGCATGATGTCATAATACATCTTTTGTAGACCTAAATGTCCTAACTTAAAATTGGCTGTCACCTGAGGACACTGCTTCCCTTGCAGCCCTTTCAAGTTCTGCCACAGCCTGTATAGCATTGTCCCTGGAGCCAGGAAGGTATCTTTCTTGCTCCTCTTTGCCACCTCCAGATCCTTCTCCCAGGTTTTTCCCTAAAAATGCTCCATGGTAAAATTACTGTCATCATATTATATCATCTATTACCTTTTCCTGTTGCAATAGTTGACTTTCCTTCTTTGGAAATTGTAGCTTTGGCTGCCTATCACTTTTAGAAAATCTATTTATGACCTAATTCTTGATTTTAAATCCACATGGATGATACTTCCAATACCCTGGCCTCTTAGTTACTTGAACTCTTTTCTACCACTGTTCTTGAACTCTTCCCGTGATCCTCCCCTGTCCCATTTACTTTAATCGTTAATTTCCAAGGCCATACCCTAGCCCATGTGATTACCTACAACTAGAATTTCTCCGTAATTTCACCTCTCTTCTCTTTCCCTTCCAACAATTCTTTGATTCCATCAGGACCTATTATCCATTGATACTACCACTTCTTGTGTAGTATCTCATTGTCTCTCATAATCATGTGTTCACTTCCCTTCCTAGCCAGCTTAAAACCCACTGTCCTTTACTATAATAATTTCCTTAGAGACTTCCTTAACATCCCTGCCCTGCCTCACTTCATTGTATTTGACATATAAAACTCCATCCTCACATAAGTTAAATTTTGTGCCTAATCTGTGCCTGTAAATGCGGGTAAATGTGGCTGTAAACACCACTATGCTGATTGGCCTCGCTTTAAATGCAAATGTTTGTAAGGCTGCCAGACAATAATACTGTGTTTCCCTAGTTCATTCCCTCAGTCACTGTTCTAGTTAACTATTTGAAACCTTTTCCTGTCCCCTTAAATTTATTATACCTATTCCTTTATTTTTAACTGCTAACCTTCAATTTCACTGAGATAATTGAAGCAATCTGAGGAAAACTTACTGAAACTCCTACTGTTACAGCTCCCCACCAATCTGTATTTGCACACACATGTTCTGCTTTCCCTGTTACTACTGTGAATAAACTGTTGTGATATTATAGTAGGCTTAGCTTGTCTATTATACTTTCAGTTTCAAATCTTTCCACTCTTATTTTTTTTCTTTTGAGTCTGCTTCTGTTGTCTGCTGTTTCTGCCAGTTCTCATTCATGGTGAGTTGTCAACTTGCATGACTGGTTATCATTGATTGTGGGCTGGGTCCTACATTTGAGAAATTATTTGTGAAAATAATTTGAGCTCTAGGATGATGTTATCTTCTATAGAAGATGGTATGTAGGGGGTATGAACAATCTGGAACCATCTTAGTCCAAGTTCAAATTTTGAGATTTTCTGAGCTATCTCGATGATGCAAAGCTAGGCTATAATTTGTATGAATGTCTCTTTTCTTCCTAGAGTAGAGCCCTTTGAAAACGTTAGTTCTTTGGTGGCTCACAGATTCCCACTTTTGACCCCTAGCCTTATGAAGTCACCAAAAGCACGACTCAGTTTCTGAATACACCCAGGGAAAGTGCTGTGCTCACCTCTCTGTGGTCTTCTTCAGAATCTTGGCTTGAAAGTTCCTCACTACTGTGTTAGCTATTTAATGCTTTTGACTTAAATTTTTTTTTTTAATTTAGCCAGGCAATTTGAATTGCCTGCTTTATTACTGAGTGGAGATTCTCTGGCTTCACCATTTTCTCTTAAAATATAAAAAGGTTTTAACCATGACCATTCCTCTAAACTGCTCTTGTGAAGGTCATCAAAGATCTTCACGTTGTTAAATCCAGTAGCCTTTCTCAGTCTGCACCTTACTTGACATTGACCCAGTTGATCCCTTCCTGTCCAGGCAAACATTTCCGTCACTCTGCATTCATCTAGTTTTCCTCCTTTCTCAGGGATAGCTTCTTCTTAGTTTTATTTGCTGTTTTCCTCATCTCCCCGATCTCTAAACATTGGAGAGCCCTACAGCACAGTATTTAGACCTCTTCTTTTTTCTTTCTTTACCTACATTTTAGGTAGTCTTAAGCAGTATCACAGTATTAGATACTATTCATATGCAAATTACTTCATAATTTTTACTTCTACCCTGGTAAAAAATTTTACCTCTAGCCATCTATCTTTTGACTTCTCTTCTGAATAGCCAACTACCTACTTGCCATTCTTACTTGAATGCCTAACAAACATCTCGAACTAAATATATCCAAAACTGAACTATTGATCTTTTTGCAAATTTGCCTCTCCATCTCCATTAAGAGCAACCCCATCCTTCTCGTTCCTTAGTAAAAAACCTCAGAGTCATCCTTTATCATTCTATTTCTCCCATAACCCTATGAAAAATACTATAAATGGAGCCACTTCAAAATGGAGTTAGAGCTGCCATCCCAGAAGAATTAATTGCCTTGCATATCTTACTCCTCAAACCTTCAGAATGTTGAAACTGGACAAAATACCCTTTGAGCTGGGCCAAACCAACATTGTATTCCAAACAACTCTTTACAAAGCTAATAGGAAAGCAGACATTCTGACTACTGAACTGAAAATTAATGACATTCTTTAGAATTAGCACCACCATGTATAGCTAAAGAATAACATAGCTTATGTGCACCTCTAGAAACTCCTTCCTTGACTTATTAACATAAAAAGAAATTCCTTCTTTCTATTCATGTAATCATTCCCCTTCCCCTTCTCAAAAAATCCCTTGTCTTCACCCCTTAATTGGCACACTATTTGATTTTCAGCCTGAATCACTGCTTCCTGAATAGCTATTCTTTTGGATATCAAATAAATGCAAGCTGCCTTTCATTTTGAGGTTAACAATCCACATCCAAATTATCGACAATAACTGCTGGCTCTACCTTAAGGCATAGCCAAAGATTTGACCATATCTTATCACTTCCCCTACTATCAATTCTAGGCCAACCTATTAACATCTTTTACTTGGGTTATTTCAATTGCCTTCTAAGTGGCTTCTTCTGCCCTTGTCTTCATTATACTTGCAATACATCAGCCAGAGTAGTATTTTAAAAATCTAAGTCAAATCATGTCATTTCTTTGTTCAAAAACTTCCAGTGGCTTCTCTTCTTATTCAGAGTAAAAGCTGAAGTCTCTTGAGTAGTCTGTAAAATCCTATATATTCAGGTTTCCATTGCACTTTTAGAATAGAAGCAGATGATTTTAGACGTGTGTGTGTGGTATGTATGTATATATAAATTAAAATACATGGACAACTATTTGCCCTACAGCATGACTTAACATAGTTTGTTTTTCTGTTTTTTGTTTTCAAATTAGCTTATGTGTCATTGTGTTGGGACAAGAGTTTTTAGCAAAAAATGATAACTACTAATTTTGGTTGTACAGCTGACCATAGACCCAATAGAAATTAAACTTAAATGATATATTGTAGCAGACAGGATTTCCCCTACTTATAATTAGATATTGATGACCGTTCCACTCTCTTTAACGTTTCCTTGATGGTTCTACTCTAAATTCATTTTTGCACCTCTGGTTAATGGATATTGGGGTACCAGTGTAGGCATGGGAAAATTCCAAGAATATCAAACTGCTCCATCTTCATAGTCACTGATTGTGAGGCATTTAAATTCCATTCTGTGTAAAAGTCATAATTTTATGAGGTGTGGTGAGAGGGTTCTATGATATCTTTCTTTATGTCGTCAACTTCGGTGGTCCTGACAAGTGCTCCAGTCTGTCAACACAAAGGTCCTCTCATTTCTATTTTAATTTTTAACATGAATGTGATACATTCCAAGAACAAAGTATAAGCAAGTAATATAGTAACGGGTGGGGTGGGAAAGTTAGGGATCAATAAAGCTGGCTAGTAGATGACCTTTGTAATGTAAGCCCTTAGAAAGGATACTTTGACATCAGAAACATGTCTCCCTCTAAGAGTATTTTGTTCTTGGTGACATTAAGATGCCTTCTGTCAAGGTTTTATAAAAATAAATAACATTTGGAACAAACACATTGCAAAACTCAAACATACTGAAATGATGAAATGAAAACAGACATCAGAGTTTGAGGAAACCAAGAACTTACCATCTAATACTTTGTGTTCACAGTTAAGCAAATCTTTGCAGATTCGTGCTGGGTTATCTCTTGTACCAAGAGGATTCTTGATGCTGTGCAGTAGATTGCTAAGGTAGTTCAGGGTTTTGAATATCTCTGCACTGTAGTCAATTAAAGTCACTTCGGTATTCTGGTAGCTCTGCCAAGTCATTGTAGGAATCACATTAGTAAAAAAGCATAGAGTAGCCATCACCAGTAGGTAACTCTATGATCAACACAGATCAAGGCAGAAGAAAAATGTACTCCTGTTGTGTACAATGAATTGGGAGTAGCATGTAAAAACCAGTGTGTATTTAAATATAGGCATATGTGTATATTTTATTGCTTTTGATCTTATATAAGAAATTAAATTCACACTCAAAAGTCTAGTTTTCAAGTTGACATAAAACTTAATATAAAAACAATATAATACTATGCCTACTACATGATGTTTTTCAAAATTATACATTGCATAATTAGAGTTTAAATAAGAACAATGAGTAGTGATAATAGGTCTCATTTTAAGAAATGGCCAACTTCATTTAACTATTTTCTTCTACAGTACCAAATTCCTTACTAAAAAAGTACTTTAACAATATTACCTTATTGTTTTAAATATTTTCCTTAAAAAATTCTATGTGTATATTTCTGCTAATTAAAGTGACTTACTTTGTCCTTAAAAATGGTTTAATTATTTTCCATCTGTTTTAAATATAATATTTGAGAAAAAGCCACATTTTGGCATTCAAAAAAAATTTCTGTTTAATTTGTATATTGAGACTGCCAGTATAAATAAAGCCAGATATATTACCTCCATCTGTAGGGCAGTATGTGATTCAATCAACGCTTGAATAGCAGCATTGATATCCATTTGTTTCTGTGTAAAACAAAACCATTTGAGATCAGCAATAAGATCAACACTGAGTGCTCTAAAGTAAAGGCTATAAATTCTGAAAACACTGCTGTTACAGTATACTAGACTTATCTGAAAGGGATTTGCACCTCTTATAGTCAGACAGATCTTGCAAATTTTGCCCGGCTATCTGAAAGGACAATATGCTGCCTTCATCCCAATCTCAAACGTCTCCTAATTAAAACAGGGCCAAAGTCTGGAGCCTCCAATGAAAAACTATTTGTCTCTGCAGCATGAAAACACACACAAAAGTTACTCAAGTGGAAGAAGAATGAAATATGACACGCTCAGTTAATAAATTGTAAAGTGAAGAAAAAAATAATGGCAGTAAATTTTAACAGTTACATTCTTGGGAGGAAATCAGAATAAAATACTACTGTCTTGAGGTAGTCGCATTAGTTTAATCTGATACTTCTGTGGTCTTAAAAACAATTTCCGAAGTTGGAAAAGGTACCATTAGTCCTAAAATAAATAATACAGTATAAATCCAATCTCCTCCTGCATTTAATAAGAGGTATTTTTAGAGAAAGACTCAGTATAACCATTAGTAAGTCTTTTTGTGTTTTAGTTTTTAAAAAGCTCAGAAATTGAGATTTGGGAGACAGTTCTGTGAAATGGCTCCTGTGTAAGCAAATCAAGCAACCTAAGTTTTTTCAGAATGATTGTACTGCTAAGATATCTTTTTAGTTGGAGGTCCATACAACAGAAAATGTTTTCAACAGATCTCTCATAACTTATGATAATTCATGGTTGGTAATGTGAAAAACAATTAAAAATGATGGGACGATCAATAAAATGCACTCTTTTTTGCCTCAGCATGTGGTTTTCATGTTGAAAAATAATTGACTCATTCTCTCTGTGTGTGTGTGTGTGTGTGTGTGTGTGTGTGTGTGTGTGTGAATGAGTCAATATATATATTGCCAAACACTGTGATACAAATTGAAGATAAAATGGTAAGCAAAAAAGAAACTTGCCCCTTGTAGAGCTGAAGTTTAGAGGGGAAGAAAGGCATTAATTAAACCATCTCAAAATTACATAATTACAAATTGTGATATGTGTTATGAAACAAAAGTGCCTGGGCTTACGAGAGAAATTATGGAGTCTGAATCAAATCTGGAGGATAGAAGAGGTTTGGAAGGTACAGATCAGGGAAGGTTTCCCTAAAGTAGTGACTTCTGAGTTGAGATATGAAGAGTACATAAGAATTGTGAGGGACCGGCTGAGTGGCTCAGTTGGTTAAGAGCTCCCTGAAGAGTGAGAGCTCTGAGCAACAGGATTGCCAGTTCGATTCCTGGCCCGAGCTGAGCTGCTGCTGAGCTGCCAACAGGTGGCAGGATGGCTCAGCTAAAAAAAAAAAAATTGTGAGAAGAAGGGGTAGGAGGGCTTTCCAGGCAGAGGTAACAACCTTGCACAAAGGCCATGAGATAGAGACGCATGGCCTATTCAAGAAACAGAAGGGGTTAGCCTAAAAAGTTGTTTGCAGATTAAATAATTCTGCCCATCATGCCTATGTAAACAGACAGATTTTGGACATGAGTCACACAAAAATAATGGTATTAAACGTGAGCAACTGAATTAAGTACTAAACAACAGTCACCTTCACATTTTCTAATTGGTTTGTGATTAGGGCTTTAATCTTATAAAACCTAAATAGCAGTTCTCAGACTCTTCGGGCTCAGGATCCTTTTGCACTTTTAAATATTATTAAGGGCTGTAAAGAACTTTTATGCATCTTAGATATAACTTTTGATATTTATTATAGAACTTAAAACATAAATTTTAAACAATTTTATTAGTTGCTTTAAAACAATAAACTCATTATGTGTTAATATAAACTAGTTTTTAATAAAAATAATTGTATTTTCCAGAATAATCAGTGCGAAGGATGGCACTGTGTTATACTTTGTACATCTCTTTAATGTCTGGATTAATAATTGATGCCAGATTTTCATATATGCTTCTGTATTCAATCTGTTATATGTTGTTTTAGTTGAAATCTATGAAGAAAATCTGGCCTTTCAGAGATATGCAATTGGAAAAAACAGTAGCCTTTTCGGATAATTATGGATATTGTTAGTATACCAAAATTTAACAAATGGTAGTTTCTTAAGGGTTAGCTGAAGTGTGACATTGGAAACCATATCTGCAAACATTTTGTACTTATTTATGTTAAAATCTATTGGTTTATCTTAAACTGTGAAGGAATCTTTACCTAGCATTTGGAAAATATTGACACACTTTATTATATAATATTAGAAAACTTATATTTAATAACATCATCACAAATCTTATCAGAAAAACATAATACTGAGAAGCTGTCAAACTCATTGTGGTAGATACAGGTTTTTCCTAATTCTTAATTTTGCTTTTGAGAGTTTGAAATTTATCATTGGCATCAAATTCTGTCAGTTGTTTCCTTTGAAATGACAGGCTCACTTCATTCATTTTCAAGAAAACATCTGCTGAATACTCATGTTTGAATAACATTGTTAGTGTCAAGTAAAAATGGTGTTCCACGTTCCAAGTAGTTCAGTTTGCAACTTAAACAATTCCACAAGTGCTTTTATTTGAGGCAACCACTGTACTTCAGTATGCAGCAGAAGTATGTTTTTATGTTCTTCCATTTCATCACACTTGATGTGTACTCAAGATCAGAGATTCAAAAGACAGCAAAAATGGTGAGGTAATGACCCTGAGAAATCGCTCTTCTATCAAAGCAATGAGAAAACTGGAAATGTCAGAATGACATTTTTTAGAACTACAGAAATTATCAAAATGAACCAATCTGGGAGCATTTATTTAAGGAAATAGCTTGATTTCAGTAAGGATAGTGAACTTTTTGGAGCATTAATTTGCCACCTGTCTAGTGGTTCCCTGGAAGACACCACTTACAAAGTTGTTTTAGTTTTACCTGTCTCAGAGCAAAAAGCCTTTTCCCCAGGAGAATTTTTCAAAAACATTTAAAGAAAAAATTTTAACTTTGTGGCTGCCTGAAGCAGTAGAAAACAGTTGGGCAAACAATAGGCTAACAAAACACAAGGAAAAGCTAGGGAATGAGATGTCTGTAGAGACTTTGAAAAGTTCTGACATATTCCTGGGAATCTAGGTCCAAGTGCATGCAATAGGGCTGTGCATATGATCAGGAAAAACCTGGGATGGCCCTAAACTCTTTCCTCTGGCTGACCTTCATGTTCTGTGAAAGCAGGAAGTTTAGGGCTAAGATATAGTTGTTAGTTGCCTAGCTGAGCATTGGAGGAGTGCTGTAACATGCCAAAGAGATGCTTGGCAAAAAGAAACTCATTGGTTCCAGCATTTAAGGAAACCTCTCCCTAATCATTAGCTGACCGCTAAGCCAACTGAATGGAGACTTTAGTGGTTACACATGTCAAAAAATACAGACTTGATTAAATTCAGTGAAGTCACTAAACAAACAAAGAAACAGCAACAACAATGACAATAAACATTGGGGTTGGGGGAAGAATTTGATTTCCAGATGTGCCACATTACATTATTTAAAATGTCCAGTTTTTGACAAAAAAAATTTATAAGACATGCAAAGAAACAAAGTATATACACGAGAAAAAAGCAATCAATAGGAACTGTCCTCGAGGAAGTCCAGATATTGGACTCAGTGGGAAAGAGTTTAATTAACTATTTTAGGTGTGTTCGAAGAACTAAAGGAAACCATGTCTAGGGAAAGATTGAAAAAGATGTCTTATTGAGCTAAAAAATATCAATGAGGAGATAGAAATTAAAGAAAAGGACCAAATAGAAGTTCTGGAAGGTACAATAACAGAAATGAAAAATTACTAGAAAGGCTCAACAGATTTCAGTAGACAGAAAAAAAAAATTCAGTGAACTTGAAAATGGGGTTATTGAGATTATCCAGTCAGAGGAGTACAAAAACAATGAAGAAAATGAACAGAGACTCAGAGGCCAGTGGGACACTATACAGCCCACCAAACTAAGCATGCTGGAAGTCTTAGAACAGGAGAGAGAAAAGGGGCAGAGAAAATATTTCAAGAAATAATGGCCAAAAATGTACCATATTTGATGAAAAACAATCTACAGATCCAAAAGCTCAATGAACTCCCATAGACCCATCATAATCAAACTGCTAAAAGCTAAATACAAACAGAATCTTGAAAGCAGAAAGGGAGAAGAGGACCATCATATCCAAAATGTCGTCATTTAATATTAACAGCTGATTTTTCATCAAAGACCGTATGGGTAAGAAGGCAGTAAGATTCAGAGTGCTGAAAGAAAAAGACTGTCAACAAGAATTTTATATTCAGTAAAACTGTCCTTCAAAAATGAGGAAAAATTAAGATATTCTCAGATAAACAAAATTGAGGGAATTCATCACTTGTAAATCTTTCCTAGAAAAATAACAAAGGGAGCCCAGAGGGCTATAATAAAAAGATACTTGGAAGAAACTTGAATCCATATGAAGAAATAAAAGATACTAGTAAAGAGAACTATACAGGTAAATATAAAAGAGAGTATACATCCCAAATAGCCAAAACAATCTTGAAAAGAAGAACAAAGTTGTAGGTCTCATACTTCAATTTCAAAACTTTCTACAAAGCTACAGCAATCAAAGCAGTGGGATACTGGCATACAGACAGACACATATACTGAATAGAGTCCAGAAATAAATCCTCACATATATGGTCAAATGATTTTTGACAAGGATGCCAGAACTGTTAAACAGGGAAAGAATAGTCTTTTTAATAAATAGTGCTGAGAAAATTTGATATCCACATGCAAAAGAATGAAGCTAGACCCTTATCTAGCATCATATGCAAAAATTAACTTAAAATGGAACAAAGACTTAAATGTAAGAGCTAAAACTATAAAACTCATATGTCTGTTGGCCATTTGTATGTCCTCTTTGGAGAAATGTCTATTCAGGTCCTCTGCCCATTTTTTAATTGGATTGTTTGTTTTTAAAACTATAAAAC